TGAAGAACTTTTGTTTAGATCAAATGACTTATTTAGATCAAAATTCATTGGCTCATTTTCCATTTTATGTTGCCTTGTACATGACGAAAAGTGAAGCACTACTTGTAATGAGTAGCTCTATTAGCAGAACTTCACTATCTTTAGATGGTTCCAATAGAAAATCAGTTGTATTAGTCGGGGTTCTCCACAAAAACAGAAGCAACAGGATGTACCTAGATCTATCTTGATCTATCTGTATGTCTATATGTGGGGTTGGGAGATATTCATTTATTTTAAGGAATTGGCTCACGCAATTGTGGAGGCTTGCTGAGTCCAAAATCTGATGGTGTAGGCCTGCGGTCTGAAGACTCAGGGAGGAGCTACAGTTCCAATCCAAAGGCAATGTGCTGGAGAATGCCTTCTTGATCAGGGGAGCATTCTTGATCAGGGGAGGTCAGTGTTTGTTCTATTAAAACCTTTAGCTGATGAGGCCCACTGACATTATGGAGGGTAATATGCTTTACTCAAAATCCACCGATTTAAATATTAATCTCATACAAAAAACACCTTCACAGAAACATCCAGAAGAATGTTTGACCAAATATATGGGCCAAGTTGACACATAAAATTAACCATCACGGCCAGGCGTGGTGTCTCACGCCTATAATCCCAGCACTTTGGGAGGCCGAGGCAGGCAGATCACGAGGTCAGGAGTTCAAGACCAGCCTGGCCAACACGGTGAAACCCCATCTCTACTGAAAATACAAAAATTAGCCCGACGTGGTGGCACGCACCTGTAATTCCAGCTACTCAGGAGGCTGAGGCAGGAGAATTGCTTGGACTCGGGAGGTGGAGGTGGCAGTGAACCAAGATCGTGCCATTGCACTCCAGCCTGGGTGACAGGGTGAGACTTTGTCTCAAAAAAAAAAAAAAAGAAAGAAAAAAAATTAACCATCATGTTAGTTAATTCCAATTATGGTTCAATTTTACACCCCATTTATGGAATAAAAGTAAAGTTTATGGAGGCCAGGCACGGTGGCTCATGTCTGTAATCCCAGCACTTTGGGAGGCTGAGGCAGGCAGATCACCTGAGGTCAGGAGATCAAGACCATTCTGGCTAACCTGATGAAACCCCATCTCTACTAAATACAAAAAAAAAATTAGCCAGGCATGGTGGTAGGCGCCTGTAGTCCCAGCTACTCAGGAGGCTGAGGCAGGAGAATGGCGTGAACCCGGGAGGCAGAGCTTGCAGTGAGCCGAGATCACACCACTGCACTCCAACCTGGGTGACGGAGTGAGACTCCGTATCAAAAAAAAAAAAAAAAAAAAAAGGTAAAGCTTATGGAAAGCTATTCTGATGAAAGTGAAACATCTGACATTATTGAGAAAATCATTATCAACTCATTAAAAAATTAAACATTTAGTATAAATATTTCTGTGATGATTTTTTTTCATATAAATACAAATTTTGGAGGAGAACAGCACCATGGTTAAAAACAGACATCTTAATAAATAAGTTTCTAGAGAAGAAATATAGTTGGACTTGGTTGTGGCACACACACAAATAATTCATAATTGTGTTCAAGCAAGTCGATTACAAAATTGTTTCTGGCCAGGTGCAGTGGTTCATGCCTGTAATTCCAGCACTTTGGGAGGCCAAGGCAGGCGGATCACCCGAAGTCAGGAGTTCGAGACTAGCCTGACCAATATGGTGAAACCCTGTCTCTACTAAAGATACAAAAATTAGCCGGGCGTGGTGGCATGCAACTGTAGTCCCAGCTACTCGGGAGGCTGAGAAAGGAGAATTGCTTGAACCCGGAAGGCAGAGGTTGCAGTGAGCTGAGATCACACCACTGGACACCAGCCTGTGTGACAGAGCTAGACTCCGTCTCAGAAAAAAAAAAAAATTGTTTCTGGAAAGGCATCGGGAAGAGGAATCTTAGGTTACACTCATGCTTTCCTTATTTCTTCCTGCATGCAGATATTCCAGTAAAGAACAGTGACACACCTAGCATATAAGACATCCAGAGTAGATAATTTTTTAACATTTTTCACCTCTATGACAAAATTGTTTTAGTAATAATCATATAATAATTAGGAATAATTGTTTTCTTGCTTTTGTCTGTAGTGGGAAAACAATATTTTAAAAGAATACATTTCCATTTTAAATATAGTGTCCAAATTCAGTAAACTATTTCATATGTGAACCAGATTTTCACTTACCAAGAAAAAGTCTTACATCTTGCAGATTGCAGTGTTTGCTGTTTTCCATTTTAAATACAAATAAAAAGTCCAAATTGTCACATGGAACGACAAGATTGAAAGAACAGTACTGTTTCTTTGTCTTTACAATCATCTGGCTATCATTATTTGTTTCAAATCCACTGTTAAAATACAGGAATATCTGGTACTGGAGGATTTGGAGAAAGGAACTGCAAGCCAGAGGCAAGCTGGAAGGATTCTGAATTGTTGGGTACCTAATTTAGAAACAAATTTGAGTAGCTGAGTCCACGTGTGTCAGGGGCCGAATATATAACTGGAAGTTCTCTGAATTAACTTCTTGGTAGAACACAATGTTTGTTAAAAGGGTAAGGAAAATGTTCTAATATGAATTTCAAGTTCTATGCCAAATAGAAATGCATTGATATATTCACCAAAAGATATGTACAAAATGTTCATAGTAGCATTATTTCTAATAGCCCAAACCTGGAAACTGCCCAAATGTCCATCAACAGGGGAATGGATAAGAAGTCTTAGAGGCAGGCTGGGCGTGGTGGCTCACATCTGTAATCCCACCAATTTGGGAAGCCAAGATGGGAGGATCACCTGAGGTCAGGAGTTCGAGACCAGCCTGGCCAACATGGTGAAACCCCATTTTCTACTAAAAATACAAACGTTAGCCAGGTCTGGTGGCACACACTTGTAGTCCCAGCTACTTGGGAAGCTGCGGCAGGAGAATTGCTTGAACCCGGGAGGTGGAGGTTGCAGTGAGCTGAGACCATGCAACTATACTCCAGCCTGGGCAGCAGAGCAAGACTCCATCTCAAAAAAAAAAAAAAAAAAGTCTTAGAGGCTAGAAGAAAGTGAAGAACTGTTTAAGGCAAAATTACTGTGGAACACATAACATTGGTATCATCATGTATTGAGCCAAGCTCTATGCTAGGCACTTTTGCATATATTATTTTGTTCAATCTTCACCACACTCTGTGACAAAGACAGTAACCTCATTTGACATATAAGAAACCAAGCACGCAGCGACCAAGGATCTTGCCTAGAGTCATAATGCTATAATAGTTAGTGGGGAACCTAGGATTTGAACTCAGTCCAAAGCCCATATGCACCTTTTCCATTATAGCATCCTGCCTCTCCAGGATAAAGAGGGAAGGCAGGGAAAGTAGGGAAGTATGGACTTCACAAATTCATACATGCTAAAATTGTAACAGCTACTGCTTCTTGAGCACCTATTATGTGGCAAATACCATATGAGGTACTTTACATAAATGATTTTTACAATTCTTGTAAAACTCTTCATGGCAGTAGTTATTATTCTCTCTCTCTCTCTCTCTTTTTTTTTTTTTTTTTTTTTTTTTGAGACAGGGTATTTCTCTGTTGCCCAGGCTGGAGTGCAGTGGCACGATCTTGGCTCACTGCAGCCTTGACCTTCTGGGCTCAAGCCATCCTCCCACCTCAGCCTCCCGAGTAGCTGGGGCTACAGGCACATGGCCACCAGGCCCAGCTAATTTTTCATTTTTGTAGAGACTGAGTCTCACCATGTTACCAAGGCTTATTATTCTCATGTTTTAGATGAAGAGACTGAGGTCCAGAGAAGCTCGATGACTTGCCTAGTTTTACAAATCTCCTGCCATCACATCCCCCTCAGCGTCCTTAATAAGAGGGAGGCCTCCGACTATGTGCTGGGCACTGTGGTGGATGCTGGAGCTATAGGGTTGAGTATATAAGAAATGGTGTTGCTGGAGCAACTGTTGCTTGCTTACCTGACCTGTCTGAGAATTAATTAGCAGGGGAACATATTTTTGTTTTCAGATTCAATATAGGAAATTGTGTAGGCAAAAATAAAGATCAGTAGTAGTAGCAGTAGTTCCAATTTGCTGACTGTGTACTGTCCTAAGTGCATACATATACATACACACACGCATACCTATATTCCTCTAATAAAATGATCCTGTTTATGTATTGTTAATATGCTCATTTTATTTTTAATTTTTATTTATTTTAAATTTATTTTTATTTTTGTTTATTTTTGAGACGCAGTCTCATTCTGTCACGAAGGCTGAAGTGCAGTGGTGCGATCTCGGCTCACTGTGACCTCCGCCTACCGGGTTCAAGTGATTCTCCTGCCTCAGCCGCCCGAGTAGCTGGGATTACAGGCGCCCGCCTCCTCGCCCAGCTAATTTTTGTATTTTTAGTAGAGATGGGGTTTCGCCATGTTGGCCAGGCTGGTCTCGTACTCCTGACCTCAGGTGATCCACCTGCCTTGGCCTCCCAAAGTGCTGGGATTACAGGCGTGAGCCACCGTGCCCGGCCAATATACTCATTTTAGTGAGGCAAAAATAGAGGCTCAGAGTCAGATTTGTACAAAGCTACAGAGCAGTTAAGTGTCCTCTCAGATGTGTACCCTGATATGGGTGACTAGGGCTCTAGGTCTCAACTGTTACAACCAGTTAAGAGTTTGGGGAAGCACTGGACCAAGAGTCAGGAAAATGGAAGCCACAGGTAGTGCAAGGTCTTGGGAATGGGACGTCTGGTCCAAGGAGTCACGCGGTGACTGGAACCCGAAAAGCCGGCGCCCGGTTTATGGCCGCCATGAAGCAACGCGGACGGCGGTAGGTTTGGGAATCTGGGAGCCTTCTGAATAGGAGACTGAGTGGGGAGGGAAAGGGGCTTCGCTGGGGGAGCCTCCGCTTCTTCTGGGAGAAAATTCCCACGGCTACCTAGGGAGCCTACAAACTGGTAGGCGCTGGCGTAGGCGCGTGGGCGGGGCCGGCGGGGCCGGGGGCGGGGCCTGCGGGGCTGGGCTGGGCGGGGAGAGGGCGGGGCCTGCTTCTCCTCAGCTTCAAGCGGCTGCGACGAGCCCTCGGGCGAACCTCTAGGCTTTCCCGCGCGGCGCCGCCTCTAGCTGCGCCTGCACCTCCTCTGCTCTGCCACCGGCTTCCTCCTCCTGAGCAGTCAGCCCGCGCGCCGGCCGGCTCCGTTATGGCGACCCGCAGCCCTGGCGTCGTGGTGAGCAGCTCGGCCCGCCGGCCCTGGCCGGTTCAGGCCCACGCGGCAGGTGGCGGCCGGGCCCTGAGGCGTGGGGTCCGCAGTGCGGGCTCGGGCGGCCGGGCCCAGGGAACCACGGAGGCGGGGGCGGCCACAGTTTCCCGGGTTCGGCTTCACGTCACGCGAGGGCGGTAGGGAGGACGGAATGGCGGGGTTTGGGGTGGGTCCCTCCTCAGGGGAGCCCTGGGAAAAGAGGGCTGCGTGTGGGAAGAGAAGGTGGAAATGGCGTTTTGGTTGACATTTGCCGCCTGCGAGCGTGCTGCGGGGAGGGGCCGAGGGCACATTCGGGAATGATGGCGCGGGGTGGGGGCGTGGGGGATTTCTCGGGAGAGGCCCTTCCCTGGAAGTTTGGGGTGCGATGGTGAGGTTCTCGGGGGCGCCTCTGGAGGGGCCTCGGCACGGAAAGCGACCACCTGGGAGGGCGTGTGGGGACCGGGCTTTGCCTTTAGTTTTGCACGCACTAGTTCATTTTTATGGAGATGCGCATGGCCTCATTGAAGCCCCACTACAGCTCTGGTAGCGGTAACCATGCGTATGTGACACACGAAGGAACTAGGGAAAAGGCATTAGGTCATTTCAAGCCGAAATTCACGTGTACTAGAATCCGGATTCCAGGCAGACCATTGCCCCAGGATATAGAAAATGAGAATCTGGTCCTTACCTTCAAGAACATTCTTAACCGTAATCAGCCTCTGGTATCTTGACTCCACCCTCACTGGTTTATTCTTGTTTGCTGAACCGGCCAAGCTGCTGGCCTCCCTCCCCAACCGTTCTGATCATGCTTGCTAGTCAAAACCCCTGCCAGTTAAATGCTTTAACCTGCTTTATTACGATTATTTTTGTTGTTTTGGCAATGACCTGGTTACCTGTTGATTGTTTCTCCTACTAAAACTTTTTAAGGGCAGGAATCACCGCTGTAACTCTAGTACTTGGCTTGTAAGAGGTCCTCGATGATGGTATGTTGAATGAATACATTAAATGATTAACCACTTGAGCCCTAAGAAGCGATTCTATTTCATATTAGGCATTGTAATGACTTAAGGTAAAGAGCAGTGCTATTAACGGAGTCTGACTGGGAATCCAGCTTGTTTGGGCTATTTACTAGTTGTGTGGCTGTGGGCAACTTACTTCACCTCTCTGGGCTTAAGTCATTTGATGTATATCTGAGGTGCTGGTTACCTCCTGGAGTTATTGAGAGGATTATAAGACAGTCTATGTGAATAAACAACCCTTGCATGGTCCCTGGCTGGGAATAGTAATAATAGCCATCATCATGTTTACGTACGTAGTCCTAATTAGTCTTCAAAACAGTCCTGTAGCAATGGTATGATTATTACCATTTTACAGATGAGGAACCTTTGAAGCCTCAGGCTAACAGACATACTGTAGGTCATATAGTTATTAAGAGAAGGAGCCTGACTCGAACCTAGCTCTCTCTGGAGTAATACCAGTTAAAAACTAGGCTAATAATAGGTACTCAAAAAAATGGTAGTGGCTGTTGTTTTTATTCAGTTGCTGAGGAAAAAATGTTGATTTTTCGTCTCTAAACATCAACTTACTTAATTCTGCCAATTTCCTTTTTTTTGAGACAGGGTCTCACTCTGTCACCCAGGATGGAGTGCAGTGGCGCAATCACTGCTCACTGTAGCCTCGACTTCCCGGGCTCAGGTGATTCTCCCCAGGCTCAGGGGATTCTCCCACTTCAGCCTCCCGAGAAGCTGGGACTACAGGTGTGCACCACCATCCCTGGTTAATATTTGTATTTTATTTTATTTATTTATTTATTTTTATTTTTTTGAGATGGAGTTTTGCTCTTGTTGCCCAGGCTGGAGTGCAGTGGCTTGATCTCAGCTCACTGCAACCTCTGCCTCCCGGGTTCAAGCGATTCTCCTGCCTCATCCTCCTGAGTAGCTGGGATTACAGGTGCCCGCCACCATGACTGGCTAATTTTTTGCATTTTTAATAGAGACGAGGTTTCACCATGTTGGCCAGGCTAGTCTCGAACTCCTAATCTCAGGTGATCCACCTGCCTCGGCCTCCCAAAGTGCTGGGATTACAGGTGTGAGCCACCGCGCCCGGCCTAATATTTGTATTTTTTGTAGAGATGGTGTTTTGCCATGTTGTCCAGGCTGGTCTCAAACTCCTGATTTCAAGCTATCTGCCTGCCTCTGCTTCCCAAAGTGCTGGGATTACAGGCATGAGCCACCATGCCTGGCCTAGGTAGATGCTTTTAGCTTTGGGGTGTGATGCCTGCCCCAGTATACAGTGAATTTAATTATTGCTAGAGCTGGCTGTTTGTTAGTTTTCTTTGAACATAAGATACTCATTGTTTTTAGTTTGCAAATCCCTCTTCCTTTTTAAAAAATTTCCTTCCCTTAAATTGTTCGCATGTTAGCAATAACAAATGCTTAAATGGTGTTATGTGCTAGATACTCTTCTAAGCCCTATTATGTATATTAACTAATTTTTTTAATTATGCAAATCAGAGAGGTTAAGTAACTTGCCCAAGATTACCTAACAATACTAGGATTTGAACCTCAGTTTGTCTCACCCCAGATTCTGCTCTTACAATCTCTAAACTTTTAAGTTAGTGATGACAATAGTAGATATTTATTGAATACTTAACTATGTTTTAGGCGTTGAAGTGAATATTTTGCAGGCATTATCTAATGTAAACACCCTAAAGTTACATAACAGGTACCCTTTAGGTAAATAAACACTAGTATGACCTTGGAGGCACAGATAGATGAAGTAACTTGCCCAATATCACTTACATGAAATTGGCCCTCAAATGTGTCTGATACAACCCATGCTGCTTGTAACTATCATTTTAAACTGCCAGGGTAAACTTGGACACACTTGAGCTAAGAAAAAGCTTCTAGATTTTTGCAAATTAATGTAAAATATACTTTATGTGGATATAATATCTTCTAAATTTCAGGGATGGTAGTCCTAGAAATGTAATTCCGCCCTAGCCGAGCTTACCCTGCCAATAATTTTTTACAGAATTGGTAAAACGGAGCACTTTTTTTTTTGTCCTTGGCCACAGTGTTATCAATAGGGTGTAGATTGGCATCAGTCTGTAGGTGTAAACCAGAATTATTCTTTGTGACCACCAAGAAATAGAGCAGTTCAGTTCAGAGGTTTCTTTCTGTGAATTTAGCACTGTGACCTGCATACTACAGGTCTACTTTGTTTTCTATCCAATGTTTATATCTGGGTATTGCAAAAGGTAGGAAAAGGACCAACCAGATCAGCAGAGAAGAGGTGCCTTGGAGTTTTGTTTTAGTTTTCTGCAGTTCATTAGATAGTAACTAGTCCATGTCATTTTACTCCCCTGTAGTGAAGATATGTTGAAGATGTACTAGTATATTCTTCTACCTTTCTGTAATTTTATATTGTGTAGATTTGATAAAATTTATGTGTCCATCACCACCAGTAATATCAATATTGAGCCTCAATTCTTATTTTCCTGCCCAGTGGCTGCCAAATTACTAACATTTACAATAATTCACTACTACTGAGATAATTTACTTCTGATTCAATAACATACTTCAGATTGTTAGGGAACTACTGTCTTCAGCATTGTGCTTCTGATAACTGATAAGTATAATTTTTTTTTTGTCCAGAGTGAGCATGTCTATTCTTCTACTGTACACACTAATAAAAGGAAAAATTATAATATTGAGTAAATTCATGTCCTTACACATATAGTAGTTATGAGCCCATGTCCCTAGAATGGGTAATAATTTTTCCCTCTCTTGGTTGAGTAGTCAATAATGCTGATTTTAATTCTTATAACAGCTTTATCCCTCAGAAGGGAAGGCAAGCAAGTTATATATGTAGTTTATTTGTAAGACTGATATGAAATTGGAAGATGAATCTACTATTAGCTTAAATTGTTTTTACATTTAGGCATATTGCATCAGCAACTCATAATTTTGGTTTTTTGTTATCCTGAGTTAACACAAATTATCCAAGGAGATGGCAGATCATCTGCTTTGAGGGGTTTTTTTTTTTTTAGAATTTTCATGTATCTGAATATAAAAGGTAAAAATATGCCAACTAGCAATTTCTGCCCATTCCACAAGTTTGGAAATGTTATTGATTACTAGGAATAAAATAAAATGTGGTTTATCTATTATTGTACCTCTTTTAATTCACATAGCTCATTTTTATCTTTTTTTTTTTTTTTTTTTTTTGAGACGGAGTCTCGCTCTGTCGCCAGGCAGGAGTACAGTTGGCTCACTCCAGTCACCGACTCCCTGGTTCAAGTGATTCTCCTGCCTCAGCCTCCCGAGTAGTCGGAATTACAGGCATGTGCCACCACGCCCAGCTAATTTTTGTAGAGACGGGGTTTCACCGTATTGGCCAGGATGGTCTCCATCTCCTGACCTCGTCATCTGCCTGCTTTGGCCTCCCAAAGTGCTGGGATTACAGATGTGAGCCACCACGCCCAGCCCACATAGCTCGTTTTTAGACTCACTTCCATTAACTTTTGTTTGGACCCACGAACATTGTCTTTTTTTTTTTTTTTTTTGGAGGTGGAGTTTCACTTTTGTTGCAGACTGTAGTGCAGTGGTGCAATCTCAGCTCACTGCAATCTCTGCCTCCCAGGTTCTAGCAGTTCTCCTGCCTCAGCGTCCTGAGTAGCTGGAATTAAAGGCGCCCACCACCACGCCCAGCTAATTTTTGTATTTTTAGTAAAGACAGGGTTTCGCCATGTTGGGCAGGCCAGGAGTGATCTGCCCACCTCAGCCTCCCAAAGTGCTGGGATTACAGGTGTGAGCCACCACATCCGGCCAACATGTCTTTTTTTTTTTTTCTTTTTAACCACAAAGAGACGTAAGCAATCCTTGTCACAGATGATGAATTGATATTGCAAGTATTGTCTTAGCTTGGATTAATTTTTTTGCTTACTGTAATTTTAGATAATATAGCTTTGTAATTAGAAATTTTAT